ATTAAACAGCTAAGTTGCTGAATGGAAAGTGGCTCTATTTACATTATTCAGACTATTGTCCTCATCTTTGTCGCCATATTTATTACGTTCCAGTCATTCAGTATTTGTCTATATTTCTGAGATGAGGTATTATGTATACTATTTACATTATTCGGACTATTGTCTTCATCTTTGTCGCCATATTTATTACAATGTTTCGGTCATTCAGTATTACACTCCGGCCTTCTTCAGGTGGTTGGAATGTCAAACTGAACCCTTTATTTCACTCACCAGGGTAGACTGCTCTAGTTCCACATGTCGTGTTTAATGAATGTCAGTTATCAGTTATCTCTTGTTAATTCCCCTCTGAAAGTTCTCCACTGCCTTGACCAGGTATTGAACTCACACTCTTTGAGTTCTGTCACTGGATCTAACCAATGCCATGAGGACACATGACACAGTGGATAAAGGCGTAGGTTAGCTCCAGTGACAGGACCCAAAGAGTGTGAGTTCAATACCCGCTTAAAGCAGTAGAGAACTTGGAGAGACGAATTAACAGGAGATAACTGATAACTGACATCCATTAAACATGGCACGTGGAACTAGAACAGTCTACCCCAGTGAGCAAAATAAAGGGTTAAGTTTAACATTCCAACCACCTGAAGAAGGCCAGAGTGTACAACGGTCGAAACATTGTAATAAATGTGGCAACAAAGATGAGGACAATAGTCTGAATAATGTAAATAATGTACATAATACCTCATCTCAGAAATATATACAGATACTGGAAAGTGACTGTAATTCATTATTTACATTATTTACAGACTAATGCCTTCATTTTTTTTTATACTACTCCTGTACTGCTTCGGTAAGCACCTTACTCCTCATGCTATCCTTTAGATTTACAAGAGACAGATCAAGCTGAAAATAATGTATTATTGCCATATATGGGCATGAGCTGCCCAGTCTTCACTTTCCAATCTCAATAGTCCAAAATCTCTGTGTCCTTGTGGGTGATGAATTATTTTCCACCCTACAACTTCTTTCCCACAGACGAAATATCACAAGCCCCTTGCTTTTCGATCACTATTTCCATGGAAAGTGCTCAGATAAACTACATTCCTTAGTTCCACCAGTTCTAGCCTTCACGGCTAAGATCCTCCATGCCATGCACATTGTAAAGAACTATATCCATTCTCTTCATATTCCAGTGCTGAAATCTAAGTTCAGCTTGAGCAGCTTCTTCACATAAACCATTGCTTTGTGGAATCAACTCCCAAGAGGATGCTTCCCCAATCACTACAGTCTTAATCAGTACAAGTCTAGTGTTAACCATTATCTTCTCCATGTAACCCCGTAAACTCTGCCTATTACTCTGTAACCCTCTACCTCGAGGGGCTCTTGAACATTGTATAGTGTGAACATCATTGTAAAAAAGAAAATTAATTTTTGCAAGTACACTCTAGAATGGAGAAAGTCTGATGTAAGTTCAAACAGAGCACTGATTTCATTTTATCTTGGAACACATATATTTAATTCTTAGATGCTTATAAAACTAAACTTATATTGCAAAAAACAGTCCTACTTTATTCTGAACACTGCAGATGTGTATGTTGCCAAAATGGCATATTGATTGGACATTACTCCAATAGGAAGGTCATATATGACATATATAGTGTGCTCTTAGCTTTCATTGATCATGATTCACTTTGTGTCTCAACACAGAAGAACAGTGAAGGCAGCAATTTATGCAGAAGCTATTTTAGAGACAGCAACAAAATTTATGGCCTAATAGAACAGCTATATTGTTGTAGGAACCATATTGTTCTAGAAGCAGCCATTTGCAATTTTCTAATGAGAGACTTCCTCTTTATTGAATTGAGATCTCTTACTTTCCTAATCCAACCCCTCATTAATTAGCTATCTTTTGAGTAAGACAACTATAAAACAAACATTAACTCACTTCATTGAATCCATTTCTGGGGATTGGTAGTATTTATTCTGTTATGCTGATTCTTTGCTCTTAAACTCAGTGATATTTCTGCATTAGGCCAGATTTTACCAAGAATCTAATTCACTTGTGGAAGGGATTTTTCTGTGTGTGTGTGTGCTTGGAAATGTATAGAGTGGAATGAAAAAAAAACCAAGACTCAAAATAACTGTTTAACAGTTTTTATTTGTCGTTGAAAGTGAGTGCAAAATAGTGGTATTTTGTGGGAAAAAGAATTAACAGAGTTCTTCCCTTAAGTAAAGGTTTCATAGAGAAAGATTTTTCTGCTTCAAAAATGTTTGAAAGTGTGTGTATGTGTGTCTGTGTTTGATGAAAGTATGGTGAAAGCTTGTAGTCACAATTAATTCCATCACTGACATTGTTTGCCATGTGGAGGTCTGAAGTGGGAGAGTCAGTTTTTTATTCAATGCTGCTTATATACTCACATAATGCCATATATAAAAGAAATAACATCCACTTTTGCCACCCTTATTTATTTCATCCATATATGTATGTGAGCATATATATATATATATATATATATATATATATATATATATATATTATTTTAAGGTATGCTATATTTATGGGTAAAAGTGCTCAATATCAAGGATAGAGTGTGTGTATATATACAAGTGAATACAAAGATCAGCACAGAGTATAACTGAGGTCAACTCTATGATAAAAGCAAAAGGCATTACCAATGACTGCTAGGGTGAAATAGATTTTTAATGACAAGTAAATTTATCCAGAAATAACTCAATAATTTTATATGATCCCAGCATGAGCTGTTAATAAAAATATTTCATCATGTCCTGGAATTCCTTATGAAATAACACATATTTTGGTTTCATTAGACAGAATTACGATGAAAATTAAGTAAATATGAAAAGGAAACATAAGGACATGTTTGCCTCAAAACAGAAACAATATTTTAACTGCATATTTTTAGTTTGTAAGAATTTTTTAACATAATAATGATTTACTGATAAAAGTCCTACTATTTAACCCATAGCTGCGGGAGAAGAGATAGATTCATACCTTTCCCAAATGTATTTATATGTAAGTGAATATAACAAATCTAACTGGAATTGGTACTTGGCCTTCTAATTTCCAATTTCAAACCATTATCCATTACACCCCACATACTTGCAGCAACTGGTATTCCCAAGTGGTCACTCATCTAGGTACTGACCAGGCTCGACTTTACTTAACTTCAGTGATTATACAAGAACCAGTGTTTCAACATATGGACATAAGTCAGTAGGAAAGTGAGAAACCAGAAGACAATTCCACATCAAGAAGTGCGAGAAAATAAACTATTAGAATAAAACATGATTATATCTAAATAATTCAACAGTAAAATGGTGAGACCTAGTTAACAATCTAGTCTTCTTCTTTGTGTCCTGTTCGCTCAGGACATAGCCGATCATGTCTCTCCACAATTTCCTGTTCCTTGCAGCTTTAAATAAGTTCTGTCTTTTCTGAACCCTGTTCCACCATCCATTTTCTCTAACTGTTGAAGGGTCCACCCCTTTTTTTATACAAATGAACTCACCCAGTGTATACTTAGACTACTACCAATGAATACCCGAGAGAGCAAGAACAGAGTCAAGTCCAGAGTGACAGAGTAAAAGGTTGTAGGTAACCGGAAGAGTGAGGGTGAGGTAACAGTGTTGTAGGAGTCACAGTGAGCGAGCACATAGACTCAGTAAGAAGTCATACAGCGATACTTCAATACCAAAGACTGTATATATATTTTGCTACTAACACGTATTCCTGGAACTACTAACCTGCTTTACCAATTTGTATTATTACGTTTATACATTATTTTCATATATTCATTCCTGGCGTTTGTTATCTATTGGTACCGGATTTCATCCCGGAATCCACAACACTAACTTGTCAAGTATGTTATGCATTGTTTTCTTCTGTCTCTCTTTCCCTCGGTCTGTCCTGTGAGTAACAGATTTTCCAAGCCCTCCTTCCACATTATGTGCCCCAGAAATTTCAACCATCTCTTCCTGATGTTAGGCATAAGTTTCCTTTTTGTTTACATTTTCTCCAAAACCCTGTCATTGCTCACATGTTCAGTCCATGATATCTCCAACATCTTTCTGTAGAACCACATTTCTCTTGCTTCAAGTCTCTTCTTCATCTTTGAGGAAATTGTCTAGCATTCACTGCCAATCTAGTAGTATGCTTAAATTCATGTCGTTGAGGTACCAAGGGGGAGGGGGAGAAGCTCATTGAATTAATTGACATGAAAATAATTAAAGAAAAGTCAGAAGGGAGCCATGTTATTGAGGTGAGTTGGTCAGTTTGGTTGATTTTGTTTAGCAGCATATCAACACCTCTATGGGTTATTTAATGTTGAAATCTAAATATTTTGAACATAGTTTTATGGCTTCAACTACAGATAAAATGTATTGTTGGTCATTTTGCTATAAAATATGTTGTTGGTCATTTTGCTTTAAAAATGAATTATTAGTAATTCTACAATAAATAGATATCAATAGTAATTTTTTATATAAAAATGTACTGCTGATATTTTTACTATAAAAATGTATTCATATACTTTCATAGTGTTTAGGAGTTCATTATTTGCCTATTGCTGGGACCCTAACAGGTGCTACTACCCATGGTTAGGGTGGACCCAGGAACAACAGCAATTAAGAAGTGGTTCCACACTTCTCAAAACCTCCTGATTAGAGGCCTTACTGCCGGATGTAGTTTATCATCCTACCCAGGACTATACAGCAGGGGAATGCTGACAGGATATGTCACACTTACGAATGGTAGATTTATAAATGTGTAAGACTTTTATGCATTTTCAGAAAGAGCTGAAATTTCCTGGGCGCATAATGAGGAAAGAGGGCTTGGAGAATTTGACACTCTCATTTTAGCACCAAGATGTTTTAGAGAATTTTGTGTGTAACTCTTTGCTCAATCAGTTGCAAGTTTGATAAAATTATTCTGTTGCTGATATCATATTTGTGACACCCATCTTTGAAGATTTCCTTTGCAAACCGACACTGTCAGTCACAGAACTGATAATTCATTTCATTATTCAGCCCTCTCAGGAATTCCTTGCTCACCAGAACCGACCATGCAAAATAAGATTCCTTAGATATGCTGATTTAGAAATGCGCGATTAGAGCGAGGCAAGTTATTTTGGCTTCATGCCGACCGATTTTGAGACTGCTTTTTATTGTCACTGATATGGGAATCTATTTCCACTTTCAGTCTATCATTACGCCAACAAACAGGAAAATATTTATTCACGTATTTCTAACTGAATATATCTTAGCTTATTTAAAAATTTGGACCATTGTCGAAGTGATTAATAATTTAAAATATGAATATGATTTCATTTATTGAAAATTAATAATCAAATTTGAGATTTTTAATCACCCATAAAATGATTATTTCATTTATTAAAATCGCTAATTAAACTTGAGATATTTAATTAACACCAAAAAGGATATTTCTTTAATTAAAATTAGTAATTAGACATGGTGAGATATTTCAATCAAAACAAAGGAAAGAGTACTGAAGTGTTATGTAATATCTGGCCTCAGATGGAGAAGAGACTTAAGGCAAAAGATATATGGTTCTACTGAGAATACCAGAAACTAAACAAAGTTTTAAAGAAAATGGGAAAAAAGGGGACACTTATATTTAATGTCAGAAAAAGTCAGTTTAAATTTCTAGGGCACTGTTATATATCATACCTATGAACACTAATGTGTATGTACCAATCCTTATAAATATATTGGACAGTATTGTAAGTTAGGATAAGATGCTGTCTAAGTCGTCCACCACTAGCAGTGGTTTACCTACTTCACACTGCTGGCGAGTATTGTATTTTGTTGATGTTATAAAGATTATCATTTCATTTCCAAACTCCAGTTTGGCTATTCCTCATTCAGTAACCCCTTCTAGGTTACAACAGGCACATAAGGAGGGTTTGGAAAATTTGACACTCTCAAGACATATTGATAACAAGAGGAAAGCAGTGCATAACCTACCTAATGAGTTTGTGTAAATAGTTGACAGAACAGGGATTAGATAACTTTGCAAAGAACAGAAAGTTGTGGAGGGCCATGATTATCCACATCCTGAAAGGATATGGCACATAGCAGAAGAAAAATCAGACATGAGATTTTTAATTACACTGAAAAAGGATATTTTATTCCTTAAATTTGTTCATAGATTATGACAGAAATGAATGAGAAAGTGATTGTCATTGGTTAGGAATTAATGTAAGCATTAGTAGAAAAATAGAATAAATTCATGCATATTGTAAATATAGTACTTTAGATTTACTACTGAAATGCATTGGAAGAAAGGGATTATCAGTGGCCAGGAATTAATTGGCAAGGTAAGGGTATATATATATATATATATATATATATATATATATATATATATATATATATAATGAGCTTGTGTAAAAGATTGGCAGAACAGGGATTAGGAAATATCCAAAAGGCAAAGTGCTAACATCCTGAAGGGACACAGCCTATAAAAAGAGAAAAATTACATAATTCTTTTTCTTAATAGTTATAAAAGAGAAAGAACTTCAGACAACTTAAGACTATTATGTCTATTACTACTACTAGGTGGAAACAAGCAATAAAAAGAAAATAAAAGAACGAGTTAAAAATTAATAATAATGATAAGCTCCATCTAAGAAAGTTTAAAACTTAAGATTATTATATCTATTACTACTACTGGATGGAAAAAAGCAATACAAATATGAAAGGAGAACTAGTCAAAAATTAACATTAATGAAAATGCTGCATCTAAGACACTCAGGCAACTTAGCACTATTATATCTGTTACTACTACTAGGTGGAAAGAATCAATAAAAAGAAAATGAAAGAAGAACTAGTCAAAAATTAACATTAATGAAAATGCTGCATCTAAGACACTCAGGCAACTTAGCACTATTATATCTGTTACTACTACTAGGTGGAAAGAATCAATAAAAAGAAAATGAAAGAAGAACTAGTCAAAAATTAATAATAATGACAATCTTCCATCTAAGAAACTCAGACAAATTAAGACTATTATATCTGTTACTACTACTAGGTGGAAACAAACAATAAAAAGAAGATAAAAGAACTAGCTAAAAATTAATAATAACCTCAGTGTATATTAATTTTTAACAGAAAATTTTTCAAACAAGTGGAATATTAATTTACGGAGGTGATCATGAAAGCCAGTTTCTGTCATGCACAACCAGGAAGCCTTGCTTGTAATAACATTTGAAATACGAATCCTGCAGAAAATAGAAAGATAGAGAACAAAATTTAACAACGGAAGTGGAACAGCATCTTAACTGCATTATTTTGATGCAATCATCATGAACCTGATAAATTCTTTGTGAGCCAGTGGCTATTACAAAGTAAATTCAATTATCTAAAAATTGTCAAAGATAGCAAATGATGTCCTCTTCTTTGCCTTTTAGTAAAATCCATCCCGCTAGATAATTGAGGAAAATGATCAATTATGTCTGTTTTTTTTTTTTCAATCTGATTTGAATTTCCTCTTCATATTTTGGCTAAAACTGAAATGATTCCCTTTTGAGAAGACTCATTTTGATAAAACAAGATTCAGTTATGCTGTTAAAGTTCAATTTACACCCAAACAAAAAGAAAAAAAAACAACTCAAAGCGTGTGTCATTAATCAGAAATATGGCAATCAATCAGGTGCAGAAATTTAACAATTAAGATATTTCAGCAACTGAAAATTTTTAAAAATTTGACACAGAAATCCAAAGTTTTCTAGAAAAAAAATGAAAGATGCATTTCAAAAGCTGAACAGTTTATTCTTCTTCTACAGGATATGGGCTAATATAGCTCTCCACAACTTCCCATCCTTTGTAGCTTTTAGTAATTTTGTGTTTTCACTATACCTCCCAGATGCTTTTCGGGCGTTCATTTACACAAACTCTCTGCTTTTCTCTGTCCCTCTTGCCTTCAATATGTCTTGTGAATATCTAATTCTCCAAACCCTCTTTCCTTATCATCTCCCCTCTTACCTGTAATCATCCACTATATTAAAAATAAACATATATATATATATATATTACATACACTCGAGGCCAAAATTTTGGAGCTACCCTCTGGATTTCAAAAAATTGCCTAAAAATTGACAGTTTCATGCCTTTCTCAAAACTAATTTACTGGCTCACTTTAGCCCAGAGGGACTTTCTCTTTTTGAAGGGTTTAATCATAT